TTGACAGAGCAGTCTGTGGACATCCAGGCTTCTTGCATCTGCCTTGCCGTATGATCATGGCCCCGGCCAACAATCTCAACGGTCTCAAAGTTGAAGATGTGCCCCATTTTCGCGGCATGGGTTGCTATCTCGGACTTTGGGTCCAACCTTCGAACAGCCAACTTATGGTCGTGCATTCGCTTTTGCAGTCGTCGGCCGGTGTCCCCAAGGTAGTTTCACTTCCTGCAGCTGCATTGAAGTCGGTATACAACAGCCGACATCTCCTGCTTAGGGATCGGGTCATTTGGCCTCATCACTTGCCAACGGATTGTTGAGTCGAGCCTGTGAGCAACGCCTATTGCGAGGGACGCGAGGGGTCTAGCCACGACTTCGGAGACCCCTATCATGTACGGAATGCCACGATTCTGGCTATGTTCTTCATTCCGCTTCCTTGGTTACCTTCGGCTCCGTTCAACGAATGCTGGCGGATAGCCGTTGGCTCTGAAGATTTATTGGAGCTTCATCTCGTCCAGTTTGGCGGCCGGTGTGCTGCAATGAGTTTCTACCCGTTGGTGTAGCGTGCGCACACAGCTTCGTTTGTGTTGTAGTGGGTGGTTGCTGTTGTAACTGAGCATTTGCAGCGTGTTTGTCGGTTTTCTGTAGGCTGACGTCGCCAGTTTGCCGTCTGGTTGGCGGCAGACGAGAACATCCAAGAATGGAAGTTTGCTCTCCACTTCCTCTTCCATCGTGAACTGTATATCGAGAATGATTGAGTTCAGCAGTTCTCCATAGTAGTTTATTTTATCCTGATCGATGATTACAAAGGTACCATCAGCATATCGTGCGCAAAACTTGGGTTTGTACTCCTCGAACAGTCGCTTCTCGAGTTTTTGCTGAACCGTCTTGGCAATGAGATCGGAGATTGGTAAACCCCTCGGAGTACCCTTAATTCGCTCATATGCGATGCCCTGGAAGGTAAAAAATGTGTTGAGGCAGTGCCCCAGTGTATGAGATCTTGACCTGTGGACTGGCCATCGTCCTCATCGTAATTTTGACGTAGTTGCTCACTGAGCGTCTTGGCCACAAGGGCCTGTGGTATGGACGTGAAGAGTGAGACCAAATCAAATGACGCCATCCTCGATCGTCACCGCCCTTATTGTGTCAAGGAATTGTTCTACTGAGTGCGCTGTTGTTTGTGAGCCCGCGATTAAGAATCTTGTCTTCTGAAATAGCCAATTTGCAAGCCAGTATTTGGGTGTGCCTCGAAGTGAGACGATTGGTCGGAGGGGAACATCTGGCTTGTTTACCTTTGGGAGACCGTAGAATCTCGCCATCGGTGTTTTTGTGGGTTTTGCCATATACCGGTCTTTGACGATGATGACCTTATTCTTCTTTGGTCTAGCCAGAATTCAGTTAACCTTCGCCAGTAGGGACTTTAGACTGGCGGTGTCACTGACCTTGTAAGACTCCCGATCGTTGAGGAGTATGAGGACTTTGTTTCAGTAATCTACCCTGTCAAGGATAACGGTTGACCAGCCTTCGTCAGCAGGCAGAATAACTATTTCGGTGTCCGCCTTTACCTCCATCAGGGCCCTTTGTTCATCTATAAGCAGCAAACGGGTTTTTCGGTGTGACACGAGAAGCAAGGAGGTTTGATGTCGAAGGAGGTCCC